CGCGGTGGCGGGGACAATCGGGGCGTCATTGGGCCGAGGGAAAAGGTGTGGGGGGGGAAGAGGTCGAGCAAACCTCAGCCTCCACCCAAAGAGGTTTCCGTGGGGTAGAAAAAGTCTTCGGGGACAATTTTGGGCCGAAAAAAGGGGATGTTGGAGACACCTCGGGCCCCTCCGGGCTCCTCTTTGTCACTACGTGGCTTTTTACCTCCCCCAAAAATGTGTATTTTTGTAATTTTTTTGGCTTTTTTCCCCCCCAGCGATGGGCAGGACGTGGTTGTTCCCCGCCTGGTTGGTTCTCTTCTGCGGTGAGTGACATCATAACCTCATTCCCCCCCTCCCCAAAAAAAAACACCTTAATTTCCCCAATTTGGGAGTTATTTTAGGGCTTTACCACACGTTTCCGCAGCGAATAACCCCTTATTCCCCATTCGTTTCTTTTTTTTTTCAGGAATTTTCCCTCATTCCCGATTTTTTTTCCCCTCAGCAAAAAGATGTAATTCCCCTTTTGCCCTTTCACCAAAAAACTCTTTTTTTTTTTTTTTTTCCATCTTAACAAAGAGCCCTTATCAGCGTTTTGCCCAGAGGGGAAAAAAAAAAACCACCCAAACCCATTATTGCCTCATTTTTTGATGAAAAAAAGCGCTTTTTCCCTGGTTTTTGGGGTGGGTTTATTTCCGAGGTAAAAAAATATAAATTCCTGTTACCCGTTTGGGGCTTTTTTTTCCCCAGAAAAAGCAGCTCTTATACACTGAGTCTTTCTTTTAGGGGGGGAAAAAGCTCTTATTCCCTTTTTTTTTTTTAATTTGAGGAAAAACCCGCTTTTATTTGGGTTTCTTTTCAAAGAAAAAAATCCTATTCCATATTTACCCGTTTTGGGGTTTTTTTTCCTCACCTTTATCTGATTTGGGTTTTTTTTTTCCCCAGAAAAAAATACCTTTATTCTGTTTTTTTCCAAAAAAAAAAAAAAAAGCCCACACCACCTATATTCCCCCCCCCCACCATCAAAAAGTCATTATTACCTGTTTTCTTTCCCCAAAATGCCCCTATTCCCATGTTTTTTTTCACCAAAAAAAAGCCCTTATTACCTCCTTTTTTGGGGGGGGAAAATAAACAAACACTTATCAGAATTTCCTCGCAGGAAAAAAAAACCCTTTCACCATTTTTAAAGGAAAAAAAACCTCAGTTTTTTCACCGTTTGGGTTTTCAGGGGGAAAAAAACACCTTATTTTCTATTTTTCTTTCCAAAAAAAACCCTCATTTGTGTATTTCTTTCCCAAAAAAAGCCTTTATTACCTTTTTTTTTTCCCAGCCGAACCTCATTATTCGCTATTTTTCACCAAAGTGCCCTTATTCCCTCTTTTCTTTAAGGAAAAGAAAAAAAAAAGCCCAAATTTCCTGGTTTTACCAAAAACATCACCTTTATTACCTGTTGGGTTTTTTTTCCTGTAAAAAAAACCCTTATCACCTGTTTTTTGGTGTTGGGGTTTGGGTTTTTTGGGGGGAGTTTTTGGGGGTTTTTTAGCAAAGAGCGCTCTGCACTTCTTTGTCATCTTTATTCTTTTTCCAGCACAAATCCCAATTTCCTGTTTTTTTTCCCCAAAAAATCCCTATTACCTCTTTGGGTTTGAGTTGGGGTCTTGGGTTGTCACCTGATCCTCACACAAAATGCCGTTATTCCCCATTGTTTGGGGTTTTTTAGTATTAATAATGATTAGTAATAATATTTCATTTATCATCTTCATTTGTCATTTGTCGTCTTTATTATTTATTATCTTTACCATCATACTTCATCATTTATTGTCTTTATCATTTATTATCTTTATCATCATCTTCATTTATCATCTTCATTATTTATCATCTTTATCATCTTCATTTATGGTCTTCACTATCATCTTTATCATCATCATTTATCATTTATTGTCTTTATTATTAATTATCTTAATCACCTTCATTTATAATTTATCGTCTTTATTATTATCTTCATTTATCTTCATTTATCATTTGTCTTTATTATTTATTATCTTTATCATTATCTTCATTTATCATCTTCATTATTTATCATCTTTGTCATCATCTTCATTTATTATTTATCATCTTTATTATTTATCATCTTTATCATCTTCATTTATCGTCTTCATTATTTATCATCTTTATCATCATCTTAATTTATTGTCTTCATTATTTATCATCTTTATCATCTTCATTTATCATTTTTCATCTTTATTATTTATCTTCATCATCTTCATTTATCATTTATCATCTTTATTATTTATTATCTTTATCACAATCTTCATTTATCATTTATCGTCTTTATTATTTATCTTCATCATCATTATTTATCATTTATCATCTTTATTATTTATCATCTTCATTTATCATTTATTGTCTTTATTGTCTATTATCTTTATAATCACCTTCATTTATCATTTATTGCCTCTATTGTTTATCATCTTTATCATCATCTTAATTTATTGTCTTCATTATCATCTTTATCATCATCTTCATTTATCATTTATCATCTTTATTATTTATCATCTTTGTCATCATTTATCATTTATCGTCTTTATTATTTATTATCTTTATCATAATCTTCATTTATTGTCTTTATTATTTATTGTCTTCATCATCATAATTATTTATCATTTAGCATCTTTATTATTTATCATCTTTATCATCATCTTCATTTATCATTTATTGTCTTCATTATCATCTTTATCATCATCTTCATTTATCATTTAT